ATTTTAAGGTCAGAAATGACCATGAACTATCTCCCTCTGTAAACATGGACAAGAGGCACTTTCCTGCTGCTTGTAGCCTGAGAGCTTTGAGAGTTCCCAGAAAATCATCCCAGAGGAGATGACATCCACTTGCCTTCATGATTTGCTCCAGTGGTTCATCAGCTTTGTTCCTGAAAACATGCACCTCAACTTCAGCCCTTTGGGATACTGCATTTTCCCCCCTGGAGATTTCTTTTAGGTGAAATGTTTCTTTAATTTAAAAAAAAAAAGGAAAATACTGAACTGAGGAAAATAAGAAACAATCTGACAGAGCTGCTGCTGCCTCACTGAGGTGTCATAAAAGAGAGACAGCAATTGCTGGTAATGTCAGCAGAAACTCAAAATACAGACAAATCCCTCAATCATCACAGGGGGCATTGAGCCAAGAAAAACACAAATATCAACGTCTTTCTTTACATCTTGAGAACTTCCAAAACCAGAAGGGAAGAACTGAGTAACTTGCATGGTGCCTCAAGTTAAAGGCTGAAGAGGGATGTGTGTGAATCCAACAGGAGTGCTTTTGGCACCCGCTTGAAGAAAAGGCAGGATCTTTGACCAGAGGGAACCAGACCTTGAGCCCTCTGGTACCTCCCAGCACCTGCCTCTAGAGAGGGGTCCCTGCCAGGACCTGTCCTGGCCACCAGCACCTTCTCAGCGCTGGGAGCCAAGGCTGGCCCAAGGCACAGCCCCCATGAGGGTCTGACCACCCAAAGCCAGATAGGAGCAGGATCAGCCGGGGTGAGGCTGCGCGGGGGAAAGGCACCGAGAAGGACGGAGAGGACAGGGACACAGCAGGCAGCACACACGGGTTTGTGACAGTCTGTGTGCTTGTGGGCATGTGGGAATGTGAGAGAGAAAAGAGATGGGAGAGGAGGATGAGGAGTGACTTCATCTCACAGCATGAACCAGCACGTACTGGTGTGTGGAAGAGCCACCGAGAGCGCCAGCAGCGCATCAAATGGCGTAAGAGTGTGGAAGTGACACAGATGAACCAAAAATTACCACAGAGCCCCCGAGAAAAACAGAACCACCCATATGTTTTTCTCTATACTGTATTTTAGGAAAGTGCTGTAAACTTATTCGAAGCGTATTTGTCTTCCCACCCAGCTCTTACTATGTTATGGCTATATCTGTGCAACTCCCTCTTTATCCTTACTAAGCTTTGAGGAATCTACCACATCATTTTTAAGGACAGCACCGGTATTTTCATAGTTACTAAGTTTGAGCCTTTCTAAATATTAGAACTCTGATTTCAATTATGCCTAATTACAGATATCTTAGAAATGTGGGGTTGATCTAATTAGGCAGATGAAGTGATGGAACCTTCCTCTTTGACTACTGGATGGCATGGTGTTTCTTATTATTTCTTGGATGTCAAAATCTAAGGGTTAATATGCCTTATACATAATATATTTTAAATGTGGATGGGACAAAAGTTATATTTCTGTGATCACTCATCAGATTCGTGCTATTGTGAAACTTCATGTCTCCTAAGGGCTAGGGCAGAAATCCTCCTCTCCATACAGGCCCTCAATTCTCCTCTCAATTGTAGCTCTACTCAAACTGAATAGGGCTACAATAGGTGAATTTGTGGAAATTTAAAGAGACAAGAGTCAGATCCTCTTCTTTCCTCAAGCACACCTGTCTTGAATTGGAAGGGATTCTAAATTACATTAGTTGAGGATCTGGCCCATTACTATGATTTTATCTTTGACTTTTTTTGCTTGTTTTTTCCTAGCTACTTTTTCATGATTTGTAACTTCACTGCCAATGGCTCAGCAGCAAAAAAGTCCAGTTCCAAAAGGGGCACTCAATGAACCTGTGCATATGGAGTGTGGTGCACTGTCCCACGTGGACTGGCACAGCCCAAGAATGGATTGGGACCATCATACATATTGTAATAAAATAACATATAAACTATACCAAAAATCATGTATTATAAAATACACTAATATTGACTACTATTATCAAAATCTTTTGTTGATACTCTTCTTTTGTTGTACCTGAGAGATGGCAGCCCCAAAAGAAGATTGCACACGCCTTAATATCTGCATAAATCCAGAACAGGGTAAATACAGGTTTGGGTACATCTGAGCCAACCACTGCATTGCTGGTACTTCTTTAGAAGAACATTATTGTCCAGCAGCACAGAGCAGAGCAAACAACACAGACCTCAGTCACCAAAGGAAACAGTTCTTTGGGTGGAAAAGGGCTGCTTTCTTACATCTGGGCATGACATCCAATTCAATTTCAGCATCAGTGTGGCTGGACAAGATTTACAGGGATGTGTAAATAATTTATTCCAGCTCTGGAAGGGAGAGCTGGGTACTCATTAGAGTTTCCTTGAAGCCCAAATGATGTAATGATTAACTGACTTAGGATCGTTTTAATAATTCCAGCAAATTTCAACTCTCCCATGTTAAAGATCTGCTGAAGAGCTTTTATTCAGATGAAAGGCTCTTTTCTGAGAACAAAACATTAATAAGGTGTACACATACATTTAACATTCACAAATCAATGCACTTGAAATAAAATATGCTTTTAAAGTTTGTTTTCCACTTTCTTCCCTGATTTGGGGGTTTAGTGCTTTTCTCTAGCCAATTTTTACCACAGGCAGTTAAGACAGCTGCATGAAAAAGAGCTGTTTTTCTGTTAAAAGTGCTTTTAGCACTTTGGCATCCTGAAATGGAATGGCAGAGAAATGCAAAATACAGTTACTACAATCCAGTACATTTCATGTGACATGCCAAGTTTTTCACTCCATGCTAGGGAAAAATCTATTAGCCAGTGAGATCAAGTGCTGGCTGTCCAACATAGCTCAGCTTTACAGTGCAGGAGGGATCAAAGCAGATTTTAACCCTGCTCCTAAATAATGCCAGAGGAAAATGTTTTGGGGCAAATACTTTAAATCTATTTATACTTACATAGCTCAATTCCTGTTTAAATACTTTCTTATCAATAATTGAGAATGTTTCCCATCATTTAGACTCCTGGACCCTGTGTATCTGCTGCTCAAGTCAGTGAACCTCCCTTCATTGCCTTCAGTAGAAATGGAACAGGCACTTTAATGATTTGCACAGCAATGGCCTAAATTTTTTAGAAGCTTCACATCTTGGTAAGCCACACGAGACATGGCAGGAACTGCAGGGGCTGCACTGGTAAGCTATAGAATGCACAACCAGAAGATAACCCACGTGTAGGCTGCTAAACACACATATATTCATAATTAAATACAGCTATGGTTAAAAAAGAAAACAGCTCTATTTTCTCTACGTGGGCCCAGGTTCGTAATCCAATTATTTTAATTTTCTAAAATTTTCTAAATTGACTGTTAAGTCAAGTTTGAAAACTTCACAGCTTCCACTCCCATTAGAAAGGACTTACCAAACTATGAGGCTCAGTTAATAGTTTGAGACACTAATTGGCCATATTTAATGACTTTAATTTGCAACAGCCATGCTAATATGCATAACTATTAACTCTGACCAGCTTTACCTTCCTTGGGACCTACACCAGCTCCCATTAACTACAGTGGGATCTGGATCAAGGCCACAGCAATAATTCCTCCTGAACCTCTTCAGCAGCACAAATTAACCCTCTCAGGTGGCTTCAACGCCACAGCCACAGAGATCTCAGAGAGCTGTACAATGAGAACCCCAGTGAATTGTCCTGCTGCTCCAACAAATCTCAGAGCATTAAAACTTTCCTCCCCTGCACCCCTTTGCTCAGGAAGGGCACTGCACACCTAAGGTGACAAAGCAGGGCACGTCTTTCCCAGCATGAAATTCTCACAGCAAAAAGTCAATGAGGGTGACAGAATACTGAATACATCACAACACTTGGCTCTTACACTGCGTTTTGCTTCTTCAGAGACCCGGACAGACACGAATTTGATTTGCTAAGTCGGTGTTTTCCCGAGGGCTGTGCTATCAAGCCCATCACGGCAGAGCTGCTGACCCACCTCCATGTTAAACTCCAGCCTGGCCCCTACTCTCAGCCTGTTTATAGGAAACCAGCGAGCCCACAAACCAGAAATACTCAGGTTATCGGGGAACCTTCCCTTGGAAGCAGAAAGAAACTCAAATATTACAGTCAAAACTTGTTCAGGTGTGTTTTGGAAGTGGCACGGAGCGCAGGAGAAAAGCACAACTCGGGATGAACAGGGCTTGGTTTCGAGACACGCTTGAAGTTTGAATTGGAGCGGTGGGGACACGGCTGCGAGGAGCGCTCGGCATCCAACCCCACTCCGGTTACAATGTACACACACACCGGCTCCTTCAGCACTCCCGGCCCCCTACCTTTGTAATATCCCCAGTAAGAAAATCAGTTTAAACAAAAATAAAACTCTTTGCTCAGCCAAAAAGGCACCAGCCTGTACCCCGCTTCCTTGCACCATCTGTGCGTGTTTTTTCTCAGCCTTCACAAAAAAAAAAAAAAAAAACAAACAATTCTAACGTTTTGCTAATCTTTTTGCCCCGCCACTATAAATAAAACAAATAAAGCCCAACAACAGTTAAGCGTCGCAGCTAAAACACATCCAATCCACTCCGATTATTTCTGCTCGTCTGTCCACGAATAGCTGCAGCCATCGGCTTTAGGGGAAGCGTGCAAGTCAGACCGCATTTATTTACAGTTGCACTATCAAGAAAAAACCTTCCCCGGTCTCCTCTTTCTATGAATATTTTAAAACACTCGGGGTTTTTCCTTTTTATCTTTTTTTTGTGGGGGGGCTGAGAGGTGATGCTAGCCCAGCTCCTGCCCCATAATTCAATTTTTCTCCGTGTTCCCAGGTCGCTCCGACTTCTTGCTGGGATGGATGCGCGGGGCGCGGAGCGGCACCCGCGGGTGCGCAAATCCCCGCGCAGAGACCCGCACCCACCCGCGGGGCGACCGCGCATCCCCGGGGGAAGGGACAGCGCCCGCGCCCGCCGTCGGCCCCGCAGCCAAACCCCTCCACCTACGTCCCCAGCGTCTCCTTGAACTCGAAGATCTTCTTGATGTCCTCCGCCTGCTTCTTCCAGGAGCCGCCGCCGTCCCCGTTCTCCCGGGCCATGGCCGCGGATGCCGCGCAGCCCCGCGGATGCCGCGCCGCCGGCTCCGAGCCCTCGGGCGGCTTTTGCTTTCTTTTCTGCCGCGGCGGCAGCGGCTGCTGCTGTTTCTTCTTCTTTTTCCTCCTCCTCCGCCTCCTTCTTCTCCCCTTCCTCCTCCTCCTCCTCCTCCTCACACTTCCTGCCCGCCGCCGCTTTTATTTCCTCCGCGCTCCGGCGGGCTCCGCGAGTGTCACTTTTCCTGGGCTATTTCCTCCCAACTTTCTCTTTCCCCCCCCCTTCCCTCCCCTTCTCTCCCCTCCTCCGCGCTCCCCCCGCGGGGCTGCCCCGTCTCTCCGTCCTCCTGCGCCCCGCGCAGCGGCTGCGCGCACCCGCGTCCTGGGGCCGCTTTGCTCTCTGACTGACCCGCCCCGCCGAAAAGTCCGTAATTTTTTTGTTTGTTTGTTTGTTTGTTTTTCTTTTCTTTCTTTTTTTTCTTTTGGAGGGAGGTCACTGTTTCTCTTCCCCCACCCCCGTGCGGGGCCCTATGGGATGCTCAGCCTTGCCGGGCGCGGTGCGGTGCGGAGCGGCCCCGCGGGCGCAGCGGCTGTGCGTGGTTGTTATGGCAATGGGAGGAGGAGGAGGAGGAAGAGGAGAAAGCGGAGGAGGAGGAGGAAGAAGGAGGAGGCAGCCCCGCCGCTGCTCTGCTGCCTGGCGCTGCCCCTCCTGACTGAATGAAGATAATTCGCATTGCACCAAAACCACGCACGTCAAACGGGAGGGGAGGGAAAGCAGCGAGGGAAAAAAAAAAAAAAAAAAAAGGAAAGCCAGGAAGAAAAAAAAAACTAAAAAAAGGAAGATTAAAAAGGCACACCAGAAGCGGCCGTGCTGGCTGGACGGGCTCTGCGCGGGGATGGGGATGGCGGTGCCCACACAGTCCTGGGGTGTAAAAAACCATCCCTCAGCAAGGACCACCCTCACCCAGCACAGCCCTCGAAGCAAGGGGCACCCTAAGAGGGGTCAGGCCCGCTGGGACCGGCGGTGGGCACCGGGTCCAGCCCTGGCACCGCTCCCACCCCGCCGGCAGCGCCGTCCGAGCCCGGCACGGCTGCGGCGTCTCGCACTGTCACACACACGCGTGGCTGGGATTGTTGCTAAAAGCAGCTTTTCCTCAGCGACACTGAGACCTCTAGCGTCGTCACATCGGGCATGGGCTGAGCTCTGATGCGGGGTGACAGGCGGGATTCGTCAGACATCAGAGAAAATGATAGTCTGCGCTAACTGAGAGATGTTTATAGTTAAGGTCTTTGGCTGCAGTTTTAGAATACGTAAGGCACTAAAAAGTGCAATTCTTTTGGGACACCCAAGTTAGGTGACCAAATCAGAGGCTTTGCTGTTGGCAATACAGGCACTCTGGTGCCTCAGGGGCAGCCCCAAATCTGACCAATTCCAAACCTCCAAACCTGATCATCAAATCAGCACCTGAAAATAAATGCGAATACAAGGAGCTAAATAACATTTACTTTAAAACAAATATGACTGTATGCACTTTACTGTTTAACATACATTGTGTCTTTTAACGGATTCCTTAAAATTCTATTCTGGAAGATGATTTTCCAGATTTCTTGTATTTTATGAGGAAGATTTGCACACTGTCAGCCTGTGAGGCTTTTCCTGAGTGTGGGCTAAGCTGTGCCTCTCATCTCAAAGGGGCTGTGGCAGAAGTGGGGATTTATAGGTGGGTGAAAGTGAAAACCTGGAGTACAGGTTGGGGTGTTTGGCCAATGCTACCCTCTGCTGGGCAGAGCCACTCCTGTGTGGCTTTGCCTGTGCCAGCTCCTGCAGCTTTTTACTGCAGCCCTCCGATGCTTTGGTGGCTGTCCAGCCTCATGGACAGCCCAAACATCTCGGGATTTCCTGCGATGGATGAGATGTGAACTGTCACAGCATGAGCTTTGGAACGGGTTTCCTTCTGCTCCTGATTTACTTCCATCTTCTCACTACCCTCAGGATTTACAATTACTCCATGGAAGTGTCACCAGGAGTCCCCAGGGAGCCTCACAACCCCACTGCATACCTGGGAAATGAAAGATGTGACTGACCTAAAAACATGCAGCTGACTGCCAAATCCAAGTTGCCCTTCAAACAGCACCGCTGTGACATTTTCTCTCTCTTTCACATGTAAATCATGTGGTATTAGAAATGCCGTGCTCCTGCCTTCAGGAGAAGATTGAGAGGGTGTGAAGCCAGGAAGGGCAGGTGTGATGGTCTGCCCTGACTTCCAGCAGGGTGGAGGCCAATGAGTTCCATCCATCCAGAAGATGAGCATTGTAACTTACCTTGGGGCTATGGCATCCCAAAATCATCCACCACTTTTATTTATGACACCACATTGGTCCCTATGGCATCACGTTAAAGTCTCTCTGCACAGACAGTGCCATCCACTTCTCCTTTTCAGCTTTCAGCGAGCAAAACTTTTACTTAAAATTGCTCAAATCCTTGCCAATGCTACAATTTCTCAGTATCAAAATTGTGTAAAATCTAAATTCTATTTTCCTTATTTCTCCTACACCCTTTGTATCACAATAATGTGCTTTTTTTTGTTATTAAATAACTCACATTTGAAGTAACTGATAGTTTAAAAGTCTCTGGAGCCATTACAGTTTTAATGAGAAGTGTAGGAGATGCTTCTGTTAGGCAGGGACCACTGGCACAATAGACCATAAAAGCCCCTTCAAAGTCATTACAATCTGTCATGTCAACCTGAATTTAGGGAGTCTGTAATCTTGTTTGACTGACAGGCTCCTGCAGAGCTATTGTAGCTATTTGAAGAGCAGGTATTCCTAAAAAATTTAAATCTTACGTGGAAAGTTCTCTCTGGAGTGGCTGCAAGTAGTGGAGCGTGCTGCAGCTGTGGGGAGCTGCAAGGCTGCATTCAGTGTTTAATTACCACAACCCGATTGCAAGAACAGCAACAGAGCAGTAAAATGAAATGCACATTATGCCAGCATTAAGACTGACAATAAAATATCAACTCAAGCCCTTTTAGTGGCTGCACAGAGGCCATCTCCCATTACCTGGGCCTGCTCTGCAGCTCTGCCAAGGGCTGTATTAGGAACAGCTAATGAGCAGGCGTGGCTGACGTGTGTTTGAAGCAGCTGCACAAGCTGCACATGCCCCCAGCCACTCCACGCAGCAAACACCAAACCCTGACACTGCAGATGGACAAGTTCTAACTGGTTTTTAAGGCCTTCTCTGGAAATACTGTGAATTTAGGGGAGAAATTCAAAACCGACTTCTATATGTTTTATTTCAGGATAAAGTGATAGGATTTTTGGAGCAGTGTTTGAAACTGTATTGTTACTGCTTGGTCCCTCAAACTGGTTCTGGGGCTGGTCATGTATGGTATGGCTGTGCTTGGCCACGTTCACTGCTGACCCTTCATATGGGCACTGTGCAAATCAGTTTATCATGAGCATAAATAAAGGAGCCATATCTGTTTTTCAGGCTTTTCCACTGACAACCTGGTTTTCCTGTGCTTAAATATCATAATATCAGACCTCTTCCCCAACGTCATTTCTGAGTCATACAATATAATCTTCCTTTCCAATTACAAATCAGCACTATTGATGCTTTTCTGCAAGAACATCAGAAACGTGGCTGTGGCTCAGCTGCTGGTCCAAGCTCAGGAGATGAGCACCCACACATCCTTGGCCATGTTTAGGGTTAAAACCTCACGTTCCAGTTCCAGAGCAGCATCAGTGTAAAGCAAACAGCACTCAAGCCCACAGCTGTTCTCTGCTGCCTTCCCTATCATGCAGCAACCTCAGACAATGGATTTTCTGCTTATGACAGAAATAAACTGGGCCAATCCCGGTGAGAAGGTGAATTATTGGTGTCACACACACATAGGAGGAGACAGTTTTTAGTGCTGGTCTGCTCCCATGGGCGGTGGTAGCAGCACTGTCATACACGAGTGTAGACCTTGGCAAGAAACTCAAAGCAAAATGACATCTTGGATGCTTTGTAGCCTCTGAGACAATCCTGAGAAGAAGTAAAATCATGGGGCAAAGCATCTTCAAATTTGGCAGCACAGGTCTTAATTTTTTGAGATACCAGGTCTGACTAGCACAGTAATATTTCCATCCAAACTCGCAGAATTCCTTGGCATTTCCAATGGTGGGGATGCTGCAGCTCCAGCCTGTACCCCATTGGGAAATTTGGAGGAAATCGTTTTGGGTATTATGCTTAGTCATGAAGAAATAAAATTATGACAAGACTTGCTTGCATAAAAGAGAGAGACAAAATAGTTTCTCTTAAATGTAAATTTCAAATGTTTATTTAAATGAGATAATTATTTATTTTTAAAAAATAATAGCTGCTATTTCGTTAATTGGATAGGAATTTTTAAGACTGCAGTTGGAAAGGTAAATTTTGATGGGGAACCACAGGTTTTGGATTTTCACCATAGATGAAAATTTAATATATAGCCATATTGGATGTGGTTGGGTTTTGATGTTTTCCAGATCCGTTTTGACACCACAAGTTCAGTACAGAAAAAGATGAACTTGGGTCTAAGAATGTCCACAACAGAAGGCTGAATCTGCTGCTGCTGCTGATGCCAACAGCAGTGCTCCTTTGAGCTAATTTAAGACTTCTCAGTGATTTTAGGGGACTTTGACTGCTCTGTACACCAAGAGGATGCATGTGAAGAAAGGAACACAAATCCATGCCAAACAAGAGACTTCTGCCTGTCTTAGGTACACGGTTGTCTGTGCGGTTTAAGGGTTAAATATAATCAATGTCCTTCCACCACCTTTAAGCACATTAGAGCCTTAGATCAGTTTAAGCTCTGCAAGATGACCTAAGGCCCTTGCTCATCCTAGGTAAAACACTGTCCTAAAACATGCAACAGCAAGAGAGAGGAGGTGAGGTGATAGATGGTTTCTGCCATTGCTGCTTTTCTCAGAGGGAGAAGGGAGTTTAAATTTTGGTCAAGTTTTTATCCATTTCTGCAAAGAGGAATGAACAAGAGCTGATGTAGATGTGAATCCTCAACCTGCAATTAATTGCCTGAAGACCATCTGGTGCCTTGTTAAGCTCCCATGTGCTTATATTACTTGTGAGATTTACAGATGCCAGCCAACTTCTTTAAGTTGCTTCTCTTCCCTGGTTTTATTTTCATCAGAATAAACCTCAGAAGTTAGAGGACAATAGTTTTGACAACATGAGGCTGCTTGTTTCACTTTGGAAAAATTGCTGTGTAAGAGAATAATAACCAGGCTAAATGCATCACTTAGAGGCTTCTGTGCCATGTGTGCATTGCAATAAATCTTAAACCCAGGGTCATAAATCACGGTCATATAAAAGTGTAGTGAGAGGGAAAAAACCCTATCACTGCCAAAGCAGAAGAGAGAGAAACAACACGGGGGTGTTGATGGATGTGGGCAGTGGGAGAGCTGGCAGGATACAGACAGGGAGCAGGGAATGGATGAGAGATGGGCAGGACAGGGAGAGGAGGGACAGGAGATGTTCCCGGGGACAAAAGTTAGAAAGGGCAAAACCACACACCCCACTCAGTTCCTGATGTTGAGCTCTGGGGTCCCAAATCTTGGTATTTCCCTGGTAACAAGCACTCAGTGTTAAATCACTGGATTTTTCATAACCTTAGAGAGCTACATGGCCAACACAAACCCTGCTCACACACCTCCTCTCTCAGTCCCTGGGCTGTGAATTTGGAGGTTTGGCTGGGGATCCAATGGGCTGCACCTGCTGAGATCAGTGATATGTAATGAGATAAGTAC